CTTATATCTCTTAGTTATACCAGGTAAATCGCAACCTGCCACATTATACTTGAACTATGTCCATTAGCTAAAGCTGAACATCGACTCATGTAACAAATAGTCCGTCAAGAGTTTTATATTCTAAGGCTTAAATCCCAAATAAAGAAATGCATTTTCATGTGCAAGATCTTCTACTTATGCATAGTAAAAGATACGCACGCAGATTATGGCAGCACTTCCACCTGAACGCGGAAATTGCGCTCTGTAAAGGAGGCTTTTCTCACGGCATTCGCTCGCTTCGTCGATCGACCCGGGGATTAAGAATTAATGTATTAAAATAAAATTTATATTTTGTACAGTAGATCAATTTATATTAACGCTTTAATCGCTAAATTAAATCACTTTTTTTGATATTATATAATATATATACTTGTGTCCATATTTCAGTATAAAATTAAATACGAACAAATTTGTATTCATTTATACGGAAAAATGTACTTACATATACATTCATGCCTAATAGTAACCAATACGAGGGTTGCCTTTTATATATTTGGAATTTGAAAAATATTCTCAATTAAGATCGACACATAAACTTTTGAACCAATTGTCGAAGCTCATTTGCCATTCTGACTGAGGTATCTCCAAAACATGCGTTCTGAATGCTTCAACCGCCTCTTAGTTTATTTTTTACTTACGGGAATAAAGAGAAGTCATTCGGTGCCAAATCATACTAAACGTTGGATGACTCTTCAAATCAATGTTTTGATCACTCAAAAATGTAGTTGTTTCAGTCGATATGTAAGAGCCCGCATTCGGCGATTGGTTTTCCTTATTTCTTAAGAGACAAATGGCTAACAAATGGTTGTTTATCACTCAGAAATTATTGCTCTGCGTTGTTCTAGTGGTATGGTTGCGACATGTCCAGTTTTTCCTAAAAAACAGAGAACGTATATCATAGAGAAGGTTCAATTGCGGACCAGCGTGTGAATTGTCAAAACCTAACAAGATTTTAATAGTGGATTTCACCACTTTTGGCTCGGAAGGAGAAATTTTAACAGTGGAGAGTGAACAGAGCTGAGCATTGTATGAAAATTATGCTCAGAGACTTGCTTTGATATTACAGCTGCATGTTAGCCTTTTGGCTTATATTTTTATACGTTTATATGCAATCATATTTATTGATATGAATATCATTTTGCGAATTTTTATGAATGCATGCAAAACTGGTAAGACTCTAATTAATTAATTAAATCTAAGTAATTTTAAAAATATTATATTTGGGAATTTAATGATTTTATTTAGTTTTTACATAATATACTTTTCTAATAGAGATTAAATTTATTACAATATATGTATATGTACATATGTACATCTTTTATCATATTAATCTTATATATAATCATATGTATATCTGCACAAGCGCATTTGAATGTGCGGATTCAGAAATTGAAATCATAATTTTATCATATAATATATCAACACAATATATGTGCGCGCATTAATTTATATGTACACGCATATATATATGTATGTAGACATAAAATTGCCGAACAAATAATGCATACAAAAACCAACATACATACATATGTATATGCGTACACATGTAAATATAATATGTCCCCCGCAAAAACTTCAAACATTGTTTTACAAAAACAACAATCGTCACAAGTCAATATGTCAGCCAAATAGGCGAAGCCCAAATTTATAGTAAATTGCACAACAACAACATTTTCATTCATGAACGCATTCGTACTTTTAGCAACCTCGCTTCATTCATAAAAACAGATACCCTCACATCCCCCGGGCATGCTTTTGCCTACAAGCGTCTTTTCACGACGATGGCAAAAGCTAAAAATCATAAATTGAACAAATTTCTGATATTCCCTCTAGAAGGGAAAAGTGACAACCCCTCAAATATGAGTATTAAAATATTTTAGAATAAAAGTGACAACATAGTATATTTGTCGATTTACAATTCAAGAAACTTTTTAAAGAAAATATTCAATATTCCTCTGATTTATATATACAGTAAACCCCGGTTAAGTTTCACTCCGCCTATCCCTCTTATCTGCCTGTGTCATGCTGCATCTCACGTTTTTTTTTCTTAATTTTTGAAGGAAAACGATAATTTTTTTTAAATACATAGAAATTATTTTTTTGGTACCACTCCTTAAGTGCCACAATCGCTTATGTACCACAAAGCACAAAAAATCTGCATCTTTGGTTTTAGCACTTAACCGGGATTGACTGTATTTGTCAAAGAATCTGCGTATGTAAATATTCGAATTTTTTGTACACATATCTGCCCGTATATATGCACATGACTTGTTGACTTTGTTTCCATTTACGCATGCCACCTTGCATATGAATAAGGGTTGATTTTGCACTTGCCATATGCGATGTATGTTTGTAAAAGTGTGTATGGTTCTGATTTCCCATGAAACAATGAGTGTACATATTTACATTCATACGTTGCATATAGACAAATTAACAATTATAATGGGTGCTTTAATATTTTTTATATGCACACATAATTGTACATATACTTACATATATATGTAAAAGAATATTTGCGACCGCTTGGTCTTTTCTTATGGGGTTATGTCAAGCAAGAGGAGTACAAAATCAAACCCAGAATTTTGACTGAACTGAAGCAGTCCTTTAAATACATATTTGATGCAATCACCTTTCAGCCCGCATTAATTTGCTAATTAGGTGTCGCATATGCGTGGCTAAGCATGGAGGAATAATTAATTGTATAAAATAAAATTAAAATTTTCTATACAATACTGTTGGCGTACATTTCTTAACATTGAATTTAGCATTATTTTTCTCATTTAACACTCAAAATGCTCAATTCTGTTATTTTGCGCTCCGCAGGGGTAAAATTCTGGTGAAATCCGCTTATAATTTATTTGTGGTGAGATCCTCTTATGTTGGCGAGTAACCCTCCGTCAAGAGGAACATTTTGACAATCGGCACACCATAAACCAGAGAACTTAAAACAACGAGAAGGTGCAAATTGAATTTTGTATGATGCTCGATTGGTTGGCTAAAAAATTGAGATCAAGGAGTTCACCATTTTCTGTAATATTTGCTGTTATTTAACAGAAATGAGAATTTTTAACAACGTTCTCTGACAAATTACGTATCTCCCAACATAAAGAGAAAAATGAAATGAATGAGAAAACAAAAAATTCAAATGCCACTTTACATATGCATGATTATTTTTTGCCATATAAACGACTTTTATGATGAAAAATTGATAAAAATGTGTTTTTTTGCACAAATGCTACATTGATAAAATGTCAAAGATTATGCAAAAAATTATATTTTACTATTTTCATAATTTTTTAAGTTCAATTGTTACAGAGTTAATAATTTATATATGTACATATGTACATCAATATGTTATATTATATAATTTAATAATATATTATCAATTATCAATAAATACATGTGGGCGCACTGCTCTATATGTAAGTATGTATGTACAAATATGCGTATGACCGCGCAAAATAAGTAAAGTACAAAAACAACAATTGTCTCAAATAGCATCAGCACCCGAAATCAATATGACAGCCAAATTTACAAATCCTAAATTTGTAGTAAATCACACACCAACAACATTTTCATTCATGAACGCTGGCGCCCAAGCAATAAGCTAAGNAAAGTAAAAATTAATTAACATAAAATAATTTAAAAATAATAATAAATAATAGTTCAATAAAAGGGAATATATTTCAAATGGCATATCAATATTCCCAGTTTGGCATACACATTATATTCTCTTCAATATTCGCCGTTTGGTTATGTTAAGAGAGCGTATGTTTACAGATTCACCGCTGTTATAAAAGCGAGAAATGTTATTTGTTTCTCGTGCATGTGTGGTGAACTCCTTGATAAATTCCTACAAATTGTTCGCTGTCGAACCTGCACCTTCTCGTTGTTTTAAGTTCTCTGCATGAACCTTCTCTATGATATACGTTCTCTGGTTCTCTGTCGTATGTCAAATCGTTCTGACATTAAAAATGTCAAATTTACGCGTAAGTTGTGAGTTGCCAGATTGCAACGCTAGGGTTGCCAAATCCCGAACCGATGAACCAGTTTTCTCTAACCTATGGGTAATCATACGCAGAGATAACTAAAAAAATCATTTTCAGTAACAGATGGATAACCAAACAAGAAGCCAACGCAAAGGACGCTGTTAACCAAAGATTTCCAAAATAGTTGTTAAATTAGAGCAATTCGGGATACACCAACGTGTAGTAAATGAGAAGATATACTTACTCCCTAGGCTATAACAAAAGTAACCTTTTGGATAATTACTGGTAACCTTCCCCATTTTATAGAAGTGTTACTTGAACATGAAGTTATCGAAGTTAAATTACTCAATATGACAGATCTATTAGTCAGTACATAAAATGCCTTTTCTGTGTTCATAGCAATAAGCAAGTTGCCAGTTTTTTCTTAAACTTATTATATTTCTGTATACGTTGGTTACACTGAATATATGCTCATAAAAAAAGAAATAGTAAAAACAAAATTTAAAATATACAGTTGTAAGTTGGAATAAAATTTTTTTTTATTGTTATATCTATTAAATCTAATAACGCTCATGGCTATTAGGGGTCACAGTAAACATCATTTCGAAATTTCCGATTCCGTTGAAAGAATTTTTAATAATGTTTACGTGGTTAGAGAAGGTTTGGTTATTTCCTCCTCAAAAAAGAAAAATAAATTACCGAATGAGAAATACACCTTCTGGCAGATAAAAAAACCAAAAATTAGTAAAAATAATAAAACATATTTGGAGTACAAAAGTAGTTTCGCACACAAGTTTTTTAATGCATTCTATAACGAAATTAATGGGAGAAGCAACAAGTTTCGCCTCAAAGACATAAGGAGGAGTAATAAGAAACTATGTGAAGGCTATACGCAGAAATATTCATTAAAACTCCAGAATTATAAATTTTCTTCTTCACAAGATTTTCACTCTAATGGAATAAAAAGTTTGAATAGGCGAAATTTGGGCAACTATTCCCTAATTTCACAGGATAACTTTACACAAAATGCAAATGTGTATATAAGTCATCACTGCATCTTGGACGACATTCTAAAAACGAAAAGGTCTTGCTTTAAAAATGAGAAACATGATTACGCTATTCCCCATGGTTTTGAAACCAGAAATGTAAGTACTTACAAATTGACACAAACCTATTTATGTTCGAATCGATTGAAATCCTATAATAAGTCTCCCTATAAATATCAGACGAAAAAATATATATATTCACCCTTAGAACATACAAAAATTTTTTACAAAAACATTATATTCAGTCCAAGGAATTATGGTACGGTCCAAGGAAGTATGTCCTTTAACTCTGATATTGCAAATAAAAAAGAGAAATATGAGTACGGTGCTGACAAATTAGTATCACTTGCTCATATATGTAAATCTTGCGCTTCATCTCAGTTATCCAATGGAAGCGGATATTTTAAAAATGAATGTAATTCTGTAATTGACAATTTTTCGCTATTACAAAAAAATCGTATTCCCACCAAAAATGTAACTAATCCAGTATTATATAATGAAAATAAATTATATAATTACGCATTAGAAAGGCAATATAGTGAAAAATACGCTCCTCAAAATAGTATAATTACTTTATTGAATATGCACAAAGTGCCTGGTTGCGAACTAATGATCAGCAAGGGACAGGAAAGGTCAAACAGTTTAAGTCTGGCTTCCAAAGCAGACCAAGTCCAAGAACAAACCGATATCAATGATCTAGTAATACATGCTTCATATACATCGTCTTTGGAATCTGTACTGCGTTCTCCGGAAGTAAAAAAAACTGATATAGGAAATTTAAATTATGACATAAAATCGGTTTCTAATTTATTATTATTCGCGAAATATGTTTCAGTATTAAGAGTTTCAGAGAACAATATACCATATGTGGAAAAAAACATTAAAATATCTTCACATAATAAATTTATTTCAAAACAAAAGGTGCTTGATGAGACATCAAATTTTAAGCAAACGCATTCCGCAAATGTCCATAACATGAAAAATAGATGTAAATCTGATAATAGCTCTTCGAAAATTAAAACTACACATTTTTTATTACAAGCAAACGACCTCTTTCGAATGAAGTATAATTACTGCATTAAGTTCTCAATTTTAATAGAGAATATGGATTTAATTTTATTTACTTTTGACCATCCGTACTGTCTTTTGGAATCAAAAAAGGTCAAAGAAACAGATACTATTGACAAACAAGGTTGCAAATACGATTCACTTTTCAAATCATCTTTGGGCTTAGAAAAGTTGATATACAACTTATTCAATATGTCGGAAAATATTACAACAAAGGCGCAGAAAAACGCCCAAGAAACCAGAAGCGTGCAAGTTTTGGATATCCAAAGTCACAAAAGGCTCAACTCTTTATCAAATGTAACTTCCACTATAATATGTAGAAAGAATGTTCAGCATGAGCTAACTTTTGCTGCTAAGATGACAGATTTTAGCGAGGATGAAATAATATTAACTAACGACTCACAAAACAGAAAAAGTAATAATGTCAAAATTATAAAGAATGGAAATTGCTTATTTATCACCGGTTCAAAGGTTTCTAGAACCGAAATGATATCGAATCGAAAGATAAAACTAAAAGTGAGTTCAGTCTTAAAATTATTCAAGGACACAAAGTATGTTCCATTCGACAATTTTACTGTTAACGCATCAGAAAATGATGGAGCTGTTCAACAGGAAATATCCAAAGAAAATATGCATGCACCCGTAGTATGCTCGATCGGAAAATATGATGGCGTATTAAATTGTGATTATAAATCAAATATTAGTGTAATAAATATACTGAGCAAATGTGAAAACAATAATACACTGGGTTACTTTCAACAGAAATGTAACTCTATGTCTAATTTATATACATGTGATAGTACAGATTTCGTTTTATTCTCATATCATTCTTCAAATATTAATATAGTTGATTCCAGAATTATAATTGATTCAATATATTATGTTCATTTAAATGATTTATTTGACTTAAATATGTCTGCAACATGTATGAATAATATGTTAGATTACCGTACCTGTACCCCTCTAACTAAATATGTGAAATCCGAGCAATGTAACTGTTCAAAATTGTATACTATTAAATATATACCTGGGTCTATTTCTAACTGTAGAGATATTAGAAATGCTATATACGAAAGCAAAACAAACTTAACTTTTGAAGGCAATAATATTTTATACAACATCCAAAGTGCAGAGCAGCAAGAACTTTGTAAATTAAATAAAGCTAAAAAATATATAGTTCTTAGTGATTGTATACCCACAAAGCAATTAGATAACGAAGCAATATCTCCTAAATTAAACTCAAGATTGAATAATGATGCAATTTTTAAACATTTTTCTATTATCGACAACTCTAAGAAAAAATATAAAGGTAAGTTTTTATACATCAAAATCATATCCTTTGAGAATTCTATTTTAGGGTTAACGTACGTGTATGAAAAAAACGAAGGAGACACAATTTGGATATTGATAACTAACGCTGTTTCATTAAAATATGTGATCTCTTTTCTATCAGTCAAACAATAGTTTTTTAATGTTTTCGTTCGTAACAGACGGTCTGTCTGGCAAAGAGACTAGATCAGAGAACTTAAAACAACGAGAAGGTGCAAATTGAATTTTGTATGATGCTCGATTGGTTGGCTGAAAAATGGAGATCAAGGAGTTCACCATTTTCTGTAATATTTGCTGTTATTTAACAGAAATGAGAATTTATAACAACGTTCTCTGACAAATTACGTATCTCCTAACATAAAGAGAAAAATGAAATGAATGAGAAAACAAAAAATACAAATGCCACTTCACATATGCATGATTATTTTTTGCCATATAAACGACTTTTATGATGAAAAATTGATAAAATATGATTTTTTTGCACAAATGCTACATTGATAAAATGTCAAAGATTATGCAAAAAATTATATTTTACTATTTTCATAATTTTTTAAGTTCAATTGTTACAGAGTTAATAATTTATATATGTACATATGTACATCAATATGTTATATTATATAATTTAATAATATATTATCAATTATCAATAAATACATGTGAGCGCACTGCTCTATATGTAAGTATGTAATATGCGTATGACCGCGCAAAATAAGTAAAGTACAAAAACAACAATTGTCTCAAATAGCATCAGCACCCGAAATCAATATGACAGCCAAATTTACAAATCCTAAATTTGTAGTAAATCACACACCAACAACATTTTCATTCATGAACGCTGGCGCCCAAGCAATAAGCTAAGTCGTTTCATTCACAAAAGCAAACGCCGTACACATCTCCCCGTGCAGGCGTTTGCCTACCAGCGTCTTTTTGCGACGATGACAAAAGTGGCAACAAAGCTTTTGTCGATTTAAAATATTTCACAATTCTAAAATATTTTTCCGTGGCTGGCAAAAATCTTCGTCAATATGTATGCATGTTCATATAAAAATATACATACCTACAATGATTTGTTGGCAAAGCTGTTAGAGCGGCAAGGGAAGCGATGACAATCGGCGAGCGTTCGTTTATTTTTCGGCACATCTCGGATTCTCTACCAACAACACAATGTTGTGACGCTTTGTCGTCGCGTCAGTCCTTCGACAGATGGACTCTTTGACATAAAAGCAAAAAACGTGTCAACGGAGATTTCACATGAAGAATTGAGTGTACATATAATACATACATACAAATGTGCAAACGACATAATATATGTAAGTACATATTTACGTACATAATTACTTTTACACATGCATTTGAAAAGAAAAATTGAAGCATGAATGTGAAATGCCGACGGCAAAACACAATTCTGTACTTTTGTGACTCCATAATGGTGTCAAGTAAATGAATGATTTTAAGAAATATATCAAAATATTTTTAAATTATTATTAATAACTCACAATAAAGTAAAAATTAATTAACATAAAATAATTTAAAAATAATAATAAATAATAGTTCAATAAAATGGAATATATTTCAAATGGCATATCAATATTCCCAGTTTGGCATACACATTATGCATATGTGAAGTGGCATTTGTATTATTTGTTTTCTCCTTCATTTCATTTTTCTCTTTATGTTGGGAGATACGTAATTTGTCAGAGAACGTTGTTATAAATTCTCATTTCTGTTAAATAAAAGCAAATATTACAGAAAATGGTGAACTCCTTGATCTCAATTTTTCAGCCAACCAATCGAGCATCATACAAAATTCAATTTGCACCTTCTCGTTGTTTTAAGTTCTCTGCATGAACCTTCTCTATGATATACGTTCTCTGGTTGATGTCTGAATATTCTTCATGTCATACATTGCTAGAAATTAACCATTTGTGGTGGTTTGACAGAGCTGTTTTTTCTTTTTTTCCACACATATTAATAGTTATTAAATACATACATAGATGTGTATATGTATGGTTAATATGTTAATGATAATCGAATATTTCGGTCACCTTCATTCGCCCCTTAGCGCGCTTAATTTTAAATTACTGCCTTACAACTTAACTTTAAATTGCCACTGTGGTTTGTGGTGGTGGAGTCGCCATGGCCGAGCTTACAGTTGACGTTGGTGCTGTTGACATAGAAGTACATCCATAATTATCTGTATAAAGAGGTTATTATGATTACACATTTGTTGCATGTAAATTTATATAGGCGATTGTGCCGCGTTATGTGACAGAAATTTGTCGTCATGTGAATCAACAATTGCGGTTAGCTTTGTTAGTATTTTCAACGGGTTTATTATTTGCATGTTTAGCGGTTCGTTATTTAATTATTTAATTTGCGTTGCGGTAGTATCGGCGGATTGTTTATTATTTGCGTTTTCGATTTTGTATGCGGTTGGTAATAAACATAGTTTCACTAGCGGTCTTGTTAGCGTTCCACTTTGAGTATTGAGGTCAACTACTTGTATATGACCGTCGGAACCGTAGTGTAGTTTTTCTATGCAGCCAAGCCGGTGTGGCCTTCGATCTGTAGCTGAAAACATGATGGAGAATTTTGATTTTTTCCCATCGATCAATAGCGACTCCACTCCTGGCTCAGGTATGGCCAGAATTAATGCTACAGGAGTTAGGGCTGTGAAGTCAGAGGGATCTTGCGAGAGTGTTGTGAGTGGCCGTGAATTGAGAACGGCTTCAAATTGAAATAATAATGTAGTGAATTCTTCATAGTTGAACTTGTAGTTTCCAACTACTTTTTTGAAGTGGGACTTGAAGCTTTTTACAGCTAATTCCCATAAACCACAGATATGGGGAGCGCTTGGAGGTATAAACTCCCAATTAATGCCTTGGGGAGCGTACTTCTGTACAATCTCAGGCGAGACTTGTTTGATAAACTGTTTTTCAGTGGCTCTTTGGGCTCCAATTAAAGTTTTGCCATTATCGCTCATTAGTTTTGATGGAAAACCGTGTCTTTCGACGAATTGAGCAAATGTCGCGAGAAAAGTCTTCTCTGTCAGATTTGTACACAGCCCGAGGTGCAATGCTTTTGTCGTAAAAAAGACAGAGTCAGTCACATAACCTTTCACTATGGTGGGAGACCTTATCATGGACGCTTTTATCTGAAAGGTCCAGCAAAATCAAAACCTATAATTGTGAAAAGTAGAGCGAAGTTCCAGCGTTGAGGCGGAACAGCTGCCATAATCTGAATTCGCAACTTCTGCTTATGCATATTACAGATCTTGCACATGAAAATGCATTTTTATATTTGGGGCTTAAGACAGGGAATATCAAACTCTTGACGAACTATATGCTGCATTAGGCATTGGTCAGCGTGAAGCATAAGTAAAGGGATATAACTGAGGAGTAATGTGGCAAGTCGCGACTTCTCTGGAACAATTAAGAGGTGGCGATCGTTATACGTTAAGCTTGATTTTAGCACGAAGCAGACTTTTCGTTTCTAAGAATGGGTTAAGAACTAAAAGTGAACTCCTTTTTTGAGTTATAGTTTTGATTCTCTCAATAACAATATATCGTGGCTGAAATTACGCATTTTAGTTGATCCGATTAGAGCGACCTTTGCCTTTTGCAGTTCTAAGTGCGTCAATGTTTCGCATTGGGGGTATTCTGAGAGAACTCCCTTTACCTTAAATTTTAGTCGCTCTATGAACTTTAACATTTAAGTGATTACTTTGGCCGCTGGTGGGTACGATGAAAATTGTTCAAGGATGTCGGTATCATCCAATGTTGTGTGAAAGGAGTCGAATTTTCGACTTTCTGGAGCAATTATATTGCACATGGGCGATTGTGGCCAGGAATCGGGAGATTCTGGTATGCATCGGGGGCCATTCCTCCAGAGAGTGGTGGAGCCAAGGTGCAACGGCTTGCACCTTCTTGTACCTAGATCGGCAGAATTATTAGCACTGGCTGCGTGTTGCTAAATGGCTGATCCCATTAGCTATTTAAGGCGTTTAATTGAAAATGTACATCTGCCATGCATGTGGTAGATATAATTTATATTTTGTCATGTTTTAATGCGTTTTCACCATGGATACTAGTTTGACTAGTAGTAGCGCGCCATATAGTTGAAGTCGTGGTAGACTTATTGCTTTTAGAGGAGCCACATTAGGTGGATGTTGCTGTGCAACACAAATACTTGAGAGCAAGTTTCTTTAAATTAGGGCAGGTGAATTGTAATGCCTTCCATAAATGTAAAGGGTCTTGTTTTAAGTCAGCCACCGGACTTTTTAAATAAATTTGCAACTCTAGAGGCATGCTTGTGTCTCGTTGACCAGACAAAATATTGTTATTTTGGTTGACAAGTTTATAATGGTCTTGCCATATATCTACAGTGTCTTCTTCGACTGGCTTGTCTCTGTTAGTTGACCATTTTCATTTGTTTCATTGGTCTCAATATCTGAAATCAATTCCTTGATACTCCTAATGCCTCTGGAGCAGGCTAATGCATCTTGGAAATGTATATTTTTGAACCGGGGATCCAAAAAAGTGGCGACAGCAGGGATATTCACGTTTTCTGTTTGTAACAATCGTTTCTTTATTTCTTCAATTACGTTTTTTTAAAATTATCTCCAATTGTCTGTTTTGGTTCCAAGCCTGTCACTTTTATAGTAAGTAATCTGGTAAGTGGGATAACTTTACTACATGTTACATATTTTTCACCACAGACTTCACGAGTAGTTATTTCAATTGGTCGTAAAATCTCACAAACTTCAGTTAAATCAATAATTTGTTTGGCATTCAACATTTCTGGTGCACTAGTGTGGCAATAATATCATTGATTGCAGGGCGCAGTTTTAAAAATCTTTCAATCATGTAAAATGTTGAGTTCCATCGAGTGGACACATCTTGTATCAGTTTCAAATCAGATTCTCGCCTCAATTCATCACTAGCAGCAATACATTGTTTAAACCACGTTACAATTCTTTT